CACAGTATTCCAGAGTCCTCTTCAATAAGTTCCTCATCCTGCAAAGAATCGCATGTGTGCTTTAATTTAAGCACTTGAGTGTGAATAGTCCTGTTGGAACTACCTCTGTTAAGCACATGTGTAACTCTGAAGGATTGGGCCCTAATCTCGTAAATTGGTGCACAGAGAAAACAGTAAAGCCCAAGAGAATGCAAACAATGCCTCATAATATTATTTTCAGAAAGGTAATATACAGTAACTTAAAGGATATTATTTTGGCTGTTCTAACTTTCAGGATATTTACAATTAAATGCATTTCTTAATTTTCTTAATTCCCATGCGTCTGACAAAGTGGGTATTCACCCACGAAAGTTTATGTTTTAATACTTCTGTTAGTCTGTAAGGTGCCACAGGACTTTTTGTCGCTTTTTACAGATCCAGACTAACACGGCTACCCCTCTGATACTTAATTCTCTTTGTTTTTTAGAGCCTATTTGTGCTGTGGGACATGGAGTTGCTGCTTTATGCTGTGCCACAAATGAGGATAAATCGTGGGTATTTCAGGGATACAGCCTGACAGGGGTAGGTACTGTGAAGCAAACTTCTCCCAAAGTGAGGTTTTCACTGTGCATGGGGCAGTGTAATTTAGTGTGGTAGTGCCAGGGATTTTGGTGTCATCCTAGGTCTTAAGAGACTTTGGGCCAAATCAAAATAATCAATCTGACATGTTCAACAACTTGTTATTCAAGAGCTGCAGGACTGTCATTGGCAAGGGGTGCTGAAAGCCAGGATGGTGAGCTGTGTAAGGGCCCAAGACTGCATATGAGGGCTCTGCTGCAATTCAGCCTTGCTCTGGTGAGTGCTGTCAGTCTCAGTATTTTATAAATACCAGATGAAGGTGATAAAACCTCTAAACAAATTTGCCATAGCCTCTTTGGCCGATAGCCATAGCCTCATGGCTTTAAATGTCCCTAGATACTATGGTTATTCAATTTGGTGCCATAACACTGCTCGTGAATTTTATTTCTATGAATGATTTTTACATGTTAAAGGAATCTAACTCAGAAAAGAGCTATTTGTACAAACTAAAAGAAGTACAAACTCAGGCTGCCGTTATTGATCTCTTGCTTATCCTGTTGTGCTGCTAGGCTGTAATGTCTCAGATCACCCACAGACTGTCACCTGTCTATGCAGGATCTAGATTCATTTCTCAATGTGCAAAATTCTTAATTCAACTTTCGTAGTTGAAAATTTACACACACAGTCAGGAAATTAAAAGTTATGGTTTCCTCAGAAGCTGTAACGCAGACTCCTGGCGCATATATATTTGATATCACAGTATATGCTGATACTTTTAATGTAATATGTGCATTGTGGCCTAGTTATGGTCATAAAAGATGCAGATTTGTTTAAATTGATGATGCAGTTGTACATTGAAATGTGCGATCAGACACAAACACTGTGTCGTGCACGAAATCCATGTAACTGGGCTCTGCAGTATAGAGATCACTACTAAGCGACATTTCAGTGGGGTTAATCTATTGCATGTTGTTTACTGGATGCAGGCATATCGTTTCTGCTGTTTAATTAGTTGTCAGTATCATGATCTTGTGTGAATGCAGAAGTGGGAAGTTCCTTTATATCGTGGTTGAATGGGCTGACCTCAAAAGCAGCAAGGTAGAGAGCTATCTTTTTACCTCCCTTTAGCCAGCACTGCAGGCAAAAGTGCCACAGCAGTAGCTAACAGAAGGCAGATCGCTCATGGGACAGGGCAAAGGGCTTGTCCAATAATCTTTTGTTTAAGAAAAAGTACATCTTATGTGTGATGATTTTGTATGCATGAATGGTTGAGTGTTAACACCTCCTAGACCATAAGGAACTGAAGGTCAGGCTGTGTTTTATTTGAAAGGTAATTTTTCTCACATTTGCATTAAGGTCTTGGATTGGTTCTGTGACCCCCAATGTCATGATTTGAGAATTGTTAATATACCTGCCTGCCCATCGTGGGTTACCTTCTCATTAGTGTGTTATATTTATTTTAACTTTATGAAGTGCTAGGGTTCAAAAATATCCCCATGTGGATTCCATTAAGATACAACACGATAGGAAAACTAACACCTGTGTGAGTAAACAAGCAGATGTAATGTACAATGTGTCAGGTTGGAATAGCACATGGCCGGCACCACGTCCCTGTGGACCCTGAGGGAGCAGGGGCCAATGGGAGCTTCGCGGGAGGTACCCCCAGGTGAGGGCAGAGCGTTACAAAGGGGTGTTACAAATCATGAGGTGGAGTTGAATGCCTTTTAACATCCGAATCCCAGCTAAACATACTCATGGAGTATTTCACTGTAGCTATAAAATGGCCCCAAACATTTCTAACTTTTTACAAAACAACATAGTCGTTAATTCCATCCCAATTTACCATGTTTTGTGGGTACAAACCTTTGCTTATCTCTTCATGTAGGTGATTATACTGGATTTAATGCTGATGGAGGTCAAGTAACAAACTTTTATCAGAGATAGCTTGCTATTATCATTATTGCAAAACAACCTGAAAGTAATCAATTGGAAGTTTAATTAAGTGGAATTATATTTATAATTACAGAGCTTCAGGGTGCATTGGTATAAAGCAGTTCTCAGTCAACTATTGTTTTCTCAGAAGCTTCTCTCCTGGTTTCTGGGCATGATGTTCTACTCCTTCCCTGACACTGGCAGACCATTTTCACCTCTCATTATTTAAGATTTGCAGAGACCACAGAATCAGAGAAGGGAGAAGAGCAGAAAAACCCATGACATTGTCTAGGGACATTGCTTTACTATTCTAATTAAGTGTAACATTCTCAGATGGTGCCAAAACCAAATCCTAAAATAGACAGAAGCCCCAAATCCTTAGTCATGTACTGTTGGTGCCACTATGAGGTACTTGTGTGCTTCACCTTTCTATGCAGACTGAGATTGACTCCCATGATAATTTCCAGTTTGCTCCCTAATTTGGATAGCTGTAAGATACCGGATATTTTGGGGTTTGGGTGTTTGTTTTTTTTAAGTACTCCAAAAATAACTTCCGTTGGATGTTTTTATTAAAATTTTTTGGAAGAAAGAAGGGGGTAGAAGAATAGATTGTGACCAAATATTTTCCTTATTGATTTTGCTTGGATCTGTCTTATGTAAAAGCTAAGCAGACTTATCTCATGCTCCTGTTTCTTTTCAGCCCTCTGTGTATGAGCTGATAAGGCAGCCCAGTTTTGCCAGTTTGTCCATTATTGTGGAGGACTTTGTGAAAGATTCTGGAGCTACCTTTAGCGGTACGTCACTTTCTGATTGTTAGCCCTTCATGTCTTATGAATGATTGTTGGTGGGTGAAATAGCTTTTAGATCAGGGGTTGGCAAACTACGGCCCGCAGGCTGGATCCGGCCCGTCAGGGCTTTGGATCCGGCCTGCGGGATTGCCATCCCTGTGGCACCGCGGGGCTAATGCGGGACCCCTGGCTTCGGCCCGGCGCCACTCTCGAAGTGGCCGGCACCACGTCCCTGTGGACCCTGAGGGAGCAGGGGCCAATGGGAGCTTCGGGGGAGGTACCCCCAGGCGAGGGCAGAGCGTGGAGCCTGCTGCCCCCCCCCACCGGACCGCAGGGACATGGTGCCGGCCACTTCTGGGAGCAGCGTGGGGCAGGCAGGGAGCCTGCCTTAGCTCCGCTGCGCGCGGCTGCCACCCCGGAGCCGCTCAAGGTAAGTGGCGCCGGA